GATCATTACATGCTTATGCTGAAAACATCAAACTCTTCCAAAATTCTTCCCCGACAGCCTGTAATGTATCAACCATAACTTCTTGTATTCAACTCCAACTGCCAAACAATTTAAATTTCTACAAACTAGATACAAAGGGCTACAACTTTCATATTTTTTAATCGCCCAAAGTCAGCCATGTGCAACAGAAATTTCTGGCGATGCACACTACTGTAGCCAAAATCTGCAGTACCAGCTTCAGTCAATCAATTATAACTTTTCGTACAAATGTCTGAATGCTGAATGGTTTATCATTATGAAAACTAGAATCAAAGGGCTACAATTTTTATGTTTCGATAATTTCGGGATTCCTTAAAAATTTCGAGATATAAGCTTCCAAAGTGAGCTCTGCGCATCAGAAATTTCGCACATTGCTGTCAAAAAAACCAGCAGTTAAAAATAATCTGAAACCACTCTGAAACTCACCCGAGGCCCTCGGGACCTTAACCCAATATAACAACATGTCCTAAAATATTATACGAACTTAGTTAAAACCTAAAATCACATAAAACAACGCTAAAACCACGAATCATACCCCAATTCAAGCTTAAGGAACTTAAGAATTTCCAACTTCTACATTCGATGCCGAAACCTACAAAATCAATTCCGATTGACATCAAATTTTGCACACAAGTCATAAATGACATAACGGATCTATAAACATTTTTAGAACTGGATTCCGACTCCGATATCAAAAAGTCAACTCCCCGGTCAAACTTCTCAAAAATTCAACTTTCGCCGTTTCAAACAAAATTTTACTACGGACTTTCAAATAATTTTTCGGACACTCTCCTAAGTCCAAAATCACCATACGGAGCTATTTGAATCATCAAAACTCTATTTTGAGGTCGTTTACATATAATTCACCATCCGATCAATTATTTCAAGTTAAACTTCCAAAACAAGAATTGTTCTTTCAATTAAATCCTGAATCATCCGAAAACCAAACTTGACCACCCCCGCAAGTCATAATACACATTTCAAACCTTCTCAAGACTTTAAGTTACCGAACGGAACGTAAATTATTAAAACGACAAGTCAGGTCGTTACAGAAAGAATGTTGGAATTCGCCGAAAGAATTGGGTGGAAATTGCAGAAGCAAGACGGAGAGCTGATTAGCGAGTTTTGCAGCAAAATAGGAGTAGAAAAACGGATTTTTAAGGTATGGTTGCACAATAACAAGAAGAATTCTACTTTGGGCAAGAGAGATCAACCCACATTTTATGACATATTGCTTGAATGTCTCATTGACAAAATACTATCTTACCTTAACTATGAAGAAGCAGCAAAGATGAGTATTCTCTCCAAAACATGGTTACAGGCCTGGTTGACTCTTCCCTACTTGAAATTCATTGTTGTTTCTCGCAAAGAGATAAACATAGTGGACAAAATTATGGAGAGATACAGTGACTACAAAATCCCTATTGTCAAGTTTGAATTTTCCAACTTTTCAGGATATTATTATCGTGAAGTTTTCTCTCTTATTGATAAGTGGCATGAAATTGCACTTCGGCATGGTGTAAAGGATCTTTTGTATAGAGGAACTTCATCATACCCCTTACCTATTTCAACAATCTTGGCAGCAAAATCTTTAAGAGAATTGATTCTGACGCGTTGTAATCTGATGGGTATTTCATCATGTGGTGTTGTGACCAACTGCAATTCATTGAGAAAGCTTTCTCTATCTAATGTAAGCTTAGACAAAAACATGCTTCAGACTCTACTCACTAGTTGCCCCTTAATTGTCGCTTTCATCCTTGACTTTTGTTCGGGGTTGGAAAAGATTGAGCTTCGGAATCTTCAAAAGATCAAGTCAGTTTCCATTGGGACACGGAGAAACCAACGTGTTAAAATCCAAGCACCAACTCTTGAACACTTATCCTATTCTGAGACGTGTTGTGAAGATCCTCCTATGTTGGAGATTGTTGAATGTCAGAATCTGAAATCTTTAAAGCTATCCCATATGAAAATATCCGATGAATTTCAGCACCTTATCTCTACATATCAATTCCTTGAGAGTATGATGTTAAGTAGCCTTTACATAGGGTTTAAATTAAGGTTAAACATATACGGGAATCAATCACCGAGGGTCTTGAAGATTTGTGACTGTCAATAAGGAACCTCTTGGAGAGGGAGAAAGTTTTATTTTTTATTAGACTGTTGATGCAGTTAGTTTATTAGTATTTCAAATTGAATGCACTTATTCATTTATAAAGTTACTATATCTTTTGCATAAATAGTGTTATAGGTAAAAAGATACGGCCAATCTTCACTTTTGAGGTGCCATTGAATGACTAGAAAACTGGATTCGCAGTTGTTCTAGTACTATAAAATACACTAGTTGCCTCAGATGAATAACGAGTCATTAGCTTGTTTTATGGCCTGCTCCCAGTAGTTTGTGTGTTTATTGTCATGTATTTTAACTAGCATGGCATCGACAGTTCATACTGTAAGTTTAGACCATGAAATCAAATACGTAACAATATTGAAAATCTTCAAGAATAATGCAAAAATAGAACCTGTAAGGAAAACCCTCCATGTTTTTAATGCTACAGTAAAATTCCCTTGGTGACAACTTAGTAGAACAACTAGCTAGTTCAACTTTAGAAATTAATAGCATCAGCTATATCTTTTACTATATGCAACATTCCAGATTTTTTTTAATATCTAGCCGCACTATATGGCCCATAGTTTAGTAAATTTTTATGTACCGATGTTTTGTGGCTAAGCTGAACGGAAAGATACTTTGTTCTGTATTTAAGAAAATTGTCAGTTTTGCACAAATTAAGGTTTCTAGTGAATTCATACTCCCTCCTTCCCTAAAAGGATGATACTTTTCGGATTTCGAGAGTCACATGGATTAATATGCTTTTTTAATACTGTGTAGGTCCCAATAATAGTGGCATATAGTCTCAACATGATTTTTAATATGCTTTTCAGCTCAATTTCTTTAACACATAAAATCGCATGGAAAATACCAAGATTATTTAACTAAAAATTTCACATAAATAATTATGTCACAATTTTTATAGTGCACGGGCACACGCTGTCACACCTCCTTTTTCCCGAGAGAATAGGGGATAGGGGAGTTTTTCCAATTAAAGTGACATTAATCGAAATGGGATTATTTATTTAATTCAGAGTCGCCACTTGGAATAATTTATGGTGTCCCAAGTCACCGGTTTATTTTAGAATCCCAAATCGAGGAAATTGGACTCTTATTTTTGGTCCGCGAACACAGAAGACCGGGTAAGGAATTCTGTTAACCTAGGAGAAGGTGTTAGGCACTCCCGAGTTCTGTGGTTTTAGCACGGTCGCTTAACAATTAATACTTGGCGTAATTATCTGATTTATTACATGTTTTAAACCTATTGTGCATTTTTATCTTTTACCGCCTTTAATTATTTATGGAATTTATTTAAACAAGTCGCGATGTCGCACACTTGTCGTTTTGGTACACATTGCAAACCGCGCCACGTGAAATGCACCCGCGATTTACAACATATTTATTTTTATTATTATTTGAAGTTATGGTCAAATCGCGTGAAACGCGCACTTGAATTGGGGAACCGTACTCATAGTCACGATAATTTATTATTAATCGCATCTAAATCAAGCTATGGTGTTCGAATATTATCCAATTACTAATTTTGACATTATTGTAAGGTCATGAGGTATGTATATTGTTATGGAGGAAATGAAGTAAACTAATTATGGAAAAAGTTGGCTAGCTTGTGAATGTTTATTTGTTTTTGGTCATGTGCAACAATTAGCCCATAAATACGCTAGGAAAGTTCAATTAAAGTCTTACACCAATCATGGCCCAACATAATCTCTTATAATTTTACTGCTAACCAATATTTGAAACTAGACTAAATTTATGGCAGGAATAGATAGATACAGGCATGACCAATTTAGTAACTAAGATAGGAGATCAAAATAAAACTAAACATGCTAAAATGGAAAGTCATTACTTCATTAAATAAACAAGAAAAGTAACGAATTAATACATATTCATCAATAAAATTAACCATATGACTACTAAAAAGGACAATAAATTAATCTTAACAAATACTCAATATGAGAACAAATTAATCTTAGCACACTCAGATGCGAACTCGATCATATCATACTCAAAGTTAAATTAAAACTGAGTGACCCAAAACATTAATGAGAAAAAAAATAGAAAGAGAAGTGAACATTTGTATTGATGATTGTGGATTTAAATTACAGCCACTCAATGATCGGATAGTTCTCAACTGGACCCTTCGGACCACGGAAAACTCGAGCGGCAAATCTCAACTTGCAACCTCAAT